AAAAAAAAAAAAAAAAAAAAAAAAAAAGAAGAGTGAATATATATATAAACAAATAATCTGTGACAACAGAACTACTGAGTACCTAACAGTGATGATACTAAGAATTTATAGGTTATTTCAAGAATATGTCACTAATCTGGCCAACAACTAGATTTTCACTGAGTAATGACTTGTGCTGGATCAATAGCAGAAAATTCAAGTCAGAGATCAAAAAAGTCCAGTGTGGGCTCAATTTTTTTTTTTTCACTTTAACCAAATAAGAAAAATGGTTTTGCCTTGAGCAAAGAAAAAATAAATAATTGTCCAACACAGTATGAAATGCTAAATGGGTATTTTACCTTAACTCTTATTTTAATATACTTTAAAAAGATATTTCAAAGGAATAACTAATCTTGATTTTAAAAATATTGTAAAGAAGCATTTTTGGCAGATCTGAAAGTAAATTTTTCTTTAAAAAGATGGCAATGAGATTTCTTCCCCTTTTTTTTGGATGGAAACTTTCAAATTCAGGTAAATTTGCAAATAGTTTCACTTGTCCCCTGGATTATTTTTTCAGCAAATTTACTTTTTAATGATTTTTTTCAAGGCTCATTTTTAGAGAGGGGAGATACTGAAAATTCTTCCAGCTAAATAGATGGATTTTTTTTTTTTTTTCAAGCAAGCATTTTAAGCAATTTCTTACTCAATTCATAGTTGTGAATCAACCTCATGTCCCACTTCTGTCAGCCTTAGGTATTTTTCAACAACAGTAAAGGTAGATATATCAGCTTTAAATACTAGCAAAACTGGCATCAGAAATATAGTGTGAGGAATTCAACAGTCTCCAATACAACAGTGCAGTCAAAGGCCAAGAGCCTTTGTTATTGCACTCTGATGAAAAGTCTGCAGTCCACTACATGTGGTTATAACAGGATTTTGCCTCAGCAGTTTTTGTCAGATACTAGCTTAAATGATCATTTGTTATATGAAATCTGCCAAATCACCAATGGTTGTTTTAAGAAAGATAACTGAATAGACTAATAGTTTTTCTTGTCAAACGGTGAATCAATACGCTTCATTCACTTAAAAACCATCTTCTGCCTAATGGGTGCAGATATTTAAGTTAATAAATATTGATCCACACTGCAGTAATAGCAGGCACTTAATGCCAGTGGGGGGAAAAAGCAAACAGCAACATGGATGTGGTTAATTTTTAAAAATTAGAAGCTATAATGAATTTCGCAAGGAAGAGCAAGAATAAGACCTGTTCTCAAGCAGATTTCCTGTGTGTTCTCTGAATTCAAGTTTCCAAAAATCCAGCAGTTCTTTTACCCTACCCTTATGGAAGGAGACACCCTGCAACCATTCCTTCCTGTTTCTCCTTCACCTTCTACCACAGAGCTCAACTCATCTTTCCCTTACATGGATTTTATACGAACATGACATTTACTTCTTATTTACACAAGGTGCAAAGTACAAGTAGATTCTAAACCCAAGTCTTACTGAGTTCCACTATATCAAACCAGAAATCCAAGATCTGTTTGAAGAAACACGGTTGAATTAATTACAACTAAGTTTCTTCTAACAAATGATTTGCTAAGGAATTACCAGCGAACAAGTGGCAATCTGAGGTCCATTAACATTTGCACCTTGACTAAACACCCTTCTTAATGCTTGAGGAAGGATGACATCAGTACTTGGAACACCCACATAGGGAATCTCAAGATCCAAAGATCCAAACATTTTAACCGTTGCATCTACTAATCTCTCTTAAAATTATCATATAAACAAACTCATGTATAGAACTCACAAGGCAGGCATAATGCTCATACCTTGTAGCAATTTTCCACTTGCTTTGATAACAACAGATCACAATCATTAACAGTAGCTTAAAACCCATCTTCCTTAACATAATTATTAATATGGATCCATTTATTTTATCTCCAAGGAATTTATCAGTGCCATGGTGGTTGGCCTAATATATCCTTCTGGTATCTCAACTGTACAGTCCTAGACCATTACCAAAGTACTAGAGACTGTAAAGGAAAACACTCCATGATACTTTCTTCAGTGAGCCAAAGCAAGCTACATGTCTTGCTACATGTCACCAAGGCAGTGTTTTCATCCTTTCCCATTCAGGCCAGTAGAGGATAGACTCAGATACAGAACACCACATCTGTGTAATACTTTAGGTTCTTTAGTTTATAAATCAAACACCAAATTCAACTCAGAAAAAGAGAGAGTGAAAAGACTTTGGCTTATTGCCATTAAATGCTCTATCTACAACATTACCAAGCCTTGTGAATTAAGCATATGAGGATTTCAGCTACTTTTATCTGCAAATCTCTCTTTTTCTCTCTTGCATTGAAGTTTAAAGGTACAATAGGATTTATATATACATATATGTATTTCCAAGGATTTAGCCAGATATCAGTGCTTGAGTGAACTATATAGCTATTCAATAGAAACTATAAAACATTGATACAAATATAAAGACATAATCAATATAAAAAGCTTATATTTATAAAAAATATTTTTAGGTAACAGTCTTCCCCTGAGGGTATACCACATAGTTGGATTCATAAATATTGCTCTGCACTGCAGCTTGGTTACCAAAGTTCAAAGTTCAGCTCTTAAATGAAGTGGAAATTGCTCCAGTCACCTGACATGGCTGCAGTGGTTGCCTCAGGATATGTTCCCTAGCTTGTTGGAGTGATAAAGACACAGCATCAATGGGGTCTCCGAAAAATCTGGAGAAGATTCCTTCTTCCACATATGGAAGATACGAGAGCAGGACCTATAGGCTAGCAAGCGCGTGTCACATGACTGGGCTTTAGTTTTCACAGGCAGTTCACTGATTTTTCTGGACCCAGTCCCAACTATCTTCATTCTCCTTTCTGCTCTTTTCGGCCTCAATAATTTCTTTGTACCTTCGGCGGAAGAAGCCCATCTGCAAATCAAGAAGAGATGACAGTGATAAGTAACAGTGTCATTAAATTGAAACTTTGTCAGAAAACAGTGTGCAGAAAAAAAAAATAGCACAGGTGTTAATATCTAATTCCTCCTAGTGCCAATCTGGAATCATAGCTCCCTGTTTACATCAATATAAATGAGATCAAACCAGGTCCCAAATCTTCACAAGTGCTCTGCCCCTTACTGATGAACTACTCTGAGGGAAGAGTCCTCTTATATGAAACATGATTTAAAAAAAAAAAATGCACATAAAGTATTTCTAATAAACACAGACCAGAAGAGGCAGATACAGGTTTATTGGTTTCAAATAAAGGCTAATGAAAAAATTGGATCTGTCCCTAAAGCCAGGCTAGCAATTGAGTCTTGAGTAGATGCTGCCAGTTTTATGAACTAAGCTCTCAGTGTCCACAACTGCACAAAGCAACAGAGATCAGAGGAATAAAGTACACCTACCTCCCAGCATCCCTATTCCAACTATCAGCCTTTTTTTTTAAGAAATCCTCTTCCAGAAAAGCCAGCACGCCCTATGGTCTATCACGGGTGTTCCATCACTGTTCTGAAGAGCTCTGCTGCCATTCTGGCGTAGCTGTCTGCAGAAGTATCAGCCCACTGCTGCGCAACCACGGGTACTCCACTTCTGCCACTAATCACTCTAAGTTCAGGTCTCAAATTTTCTATTTACAGATCATTTACATTAAGATGATTTGGAGGAAACCAATACCTACAGGCTCTTGTTTATGCTAAATGATTTCCCTTGTCCCATTGCTGTCAGTTGTGTAACCTTCAGCTCAGAAGGCAAAACACAAGCCTGATCCTACAACATACAGAGCATCCATCAACAATAACTTCTCCACAAGCTTTCAAGATGTTGCAGGGCTGATAATCACTTTTGAATATTTTCTTGTTTCCTAAACCCTTGTACTTAGTTAAAGAAATGCAAGTGGGTTTCATTTCAGTTTGGATAAAAACCTCTCATACCTCTGGTTTTTTAAGTCTTTAAAATAAACAAAAATGATTTTAATAACAGACTTTGGTAAGCATTCAAGAATAACTCCTCAAACTTAGTAGTGCACTATTGAGACCATTGAATCAATATTTTCTTCATCATAATTAAACATTTATGTAACTCCTACCACTCTAAACCTGTTTTCTTACTCCTGCTGGGTAAAACATGATGCTTTAGTCTTCCTTTATCAACTAGTTATTGCCATCCTTTATTCCCCAATTGGCTATATGTAGGAATATTTTGTGGTGTTTTGTCACGACTAGTTTCTGTTAAGTTGGGCTTTTTAGTTTCAGTTCTTTAGTAACTTTAATTTTCTTCAAGTATGTTTTAACTTGCAGGGGTCTGAAAGGCAGCTTGTTCAAACTGCCAACAGTGCTTCTCCAGCAGAGCTTCCTATAGCCCAGGTCCTCGCCAGTGCCCCCAGCTACAACCTGAATTCACAGCAACATGAGACCAGACACACACTGTCCTCTCACCACCTCTTCCCTCCGCCGCTTGGGTTTTGGGCAAAGCACACAGAAGCTGCAGCGTGGTCAGTCTCTCTTTTGGATAACTGTGGACCACAGTGCCAGGGTGTGCTATTTATCTAGCGATAGGTGTCCCCTGATGAGTGCAGAGATATACATTACATGCACACCTATAACCACTTTATAAATACACAATAGGTAGGCATACACAAAAATGCCCACGATCTCCATTTTACAGAGGTCCCATGACCTTCTGGAGGTCCTCACGAATAACTGGCACTAGACCTTAAATGTCATTTGTTCATAGTCTTGTGCACAGGCCATGGACATCGTCTTTTTCCCATCTAAAGTAAGTAAAGCTTTATCTGCTGCTCAATACATGCAAATGCATGGATAATAGTGGTTCTGTTCTGAAAAAACACCTCGCAAAAGGGACACTATTGAATCTTGGAGGGCCATGTCTCTTTCACCTCCTGCCACCTTTCAGAATGGTGTACGCAAGGATTCAGAAAAAGAGAATCTAAGAAGAGTTTCTCCAGTTCCCTATTCTTCAAACTTGCTCTAGAAGTCAGAACAAGTTCTTTCTTTAGCAGTAAAATATCATTACTAGTAATTTTCATACTTGTGCCTATGAGCTATACCAGTGCAAAAGATGGTTTTTGAGAAGACATCCTCAAGAGAGTACCACCATAAAATCCCAGTGAAATTTCACCATTGATGCCGACATACTTCAGCTCAATAGAGACTTGAAGCCAATAGCAAAAGTTTCCCTAGATTTCCATGGTCTAAAATGGAGGTGAATTATTTTATTCATATTGAAAAAAAGAAGTGTAAGGACCTACTAATCCTTGGCTGTTCTGCCCGAGCAGGATTAATCACAGGTACTTGTAGTCACAGGAATCTGCAGATACTCCTTATGTATGGTCAGGGAGCAGATGTGTTGAAGAAGTGGGTGCCATTTTTGTATTATCAGTTTTTACAACAGACCTACATATTCTGCACATTAGTAAAGAAAATTGCCACAGGACTTTGCTTCCTAAGATTAACAAGAGAAATTCAATTTGTAGCTTTTAAAAACAGGTTTTAAACCCTTAAGGTTTCCATCTTTCATGCAACCACATCCTTGGTACAATAAAATCCTCTCTTGAAGTTATAATCAAAATTATAGAAGGGCTTTTTATTTCCTCGAGGGCCAAACAAACAAAAGCAAACTCCTTCCCACTGTTATTTTAATAAAAATTGTATCTTTGTGAACATCTGCTTCAGGAATTATCTTTAAAAGTTGGTTATCATAGTTCTGGTATTTTACTATTTTGTTACTGGATAGAGAATGCTTTTGTGTAACTTTCCAGTATAGCAAAAAAGTGAGCTGAAGACTGTAATAAATATTAATGAAGCATGAAATCCTACATCTAGAGGTGATTCCATTACAAAGCTATATATGTTTACTTGTTGTAAATGACGTGGATAATCTAAAAATTACATAGAGGACTTCATTTAAGTACAAGCAAAGAGAGAAACTGGACCTTAAGGATTTTTTCCTTTTTACATTTTTAAAAATAGTGGTCAGGGATTATATGTATTTCCCATCCTTGAAAGGCAAGGATGTGCTTTGTTATGGAGTACTGTTCCGTAGTGTTAACACCACAGATTTCCAGTTAATGTCATAGAGTCCCTATCATCACCAGAAAGGGTTTTTTTTTTTTTTTGGTAATGTCCATGAAGAAATCACAACATAGTAATTGTCTCACAAGAGACCACACAACCCACATATCCATTTCCTTACAATAAACTGGTTTCATTGAAAATGACAGCAATACTAACCCATATGGTGAGGGCTGATAAGTGCCTGTGGCAAGCTGGAGAGAACAAGTGAATTTAACATACAATGGGGAGATGCAGGGGTAATAAGGAGAAGGATGCTTGGACCAAAGCAGGAGAATTGATGCAACAAGGGGCTGAGCACATACTGGCTCTCTTGTCACCAGGGTAGAAGTGACACCAGAAGATCTCTTTTCTGTGGCTAATGCAAAGCCCTTAAGGGAACTCAGAAAACCAGTCCTGGATTTCAAGCAGGGAGAGAAGAAATGATCCTCAGCTTTAACAGGAATATTGCTGCAATCTCATTTGTGTAATAGGTGTTTACAGCGGGCCAAAGGTCTCCAACTCATGTTTTATGGGCCTTTCATCAAGTCTCTGATACTGTTGAATTCTCCCAAACTTTGCTTTCCACATATACAGACATATATGTGTGTGTGTACGCATACAGATGCATGTATATGGGAAAGGAATACCCAAGTCCAGAGCTGTGACCCCATCGTGCAATCTGTGATTTCACACCACCACATCCAAGGAAAGGAGTGATGACAGTATTTTGGTCAGTAAACCTCTGCCTAGGGAAGTCACTCAGGACAGGAAGAGCAACATCAGAACATATTTACAGGAGGCAAGAGAAAGTATCGAGAAGCTGAAGGGTTATAATGGAAAAAGAGGCATCAGCCACTAAAGACAATGTAGGAAATGAGAAAAGCGAACTACAGTCAGCATTTCAGAGCTGGGTGAAAATTATTTAGGAAGGCTGAGGAGCCCCTCTTGAGTTACGGGCCTTTCGGGTCTGCATGGCTGAAAGAAAGGTCTCAAGAGTGGGACACTGCTCAGTATGCACCATGCTTTACTCTTAACCCTGTCAGACATCACCAGAGAGGAACTGCTACGCCAAGGGCACCATGTCCTACCTTGCTGCTTCTGTCTGCAAACATGGAGGAGAAAGAGGGCCATTGAAGACTTCAGGAATACAGGGAGAGTCCCAAAATCCTGGGGCTATCAGTGTCAGTCACAATGGATTCATGCCCCACGGAAAGAAAAGAGTGTGCATGAATTGTGTGTGATTCCACAAACTGTCATGTTTCACACCTGCCATGATAAACTGAAAAGATGTCTGCTTGCTTTTAAACAAATCCAAACAAATTCAGGCAGAACCAAACAAAATGGAAAGAAAGAGATGGCCTGGTCTTTACCAGAAGTGACACACAATAACCAGTCCTTTCTGGAGGTGCTTCAAGTAAGTATTAAAGCTGCTATAAATAGGTAGCTTAGATTCAAAACCTGAAACCATCCATAGGTTGTACACACATCCTTTAATTTAGTTATTCCAGGCCACATACCCTTTTCTAGCATAACCTTACTGCCATCTACAGTATACGCTGAGCAGAAAGCATGTTCCTGGCAAAACTGAACAATAAAGTAATAGAAAATCAGTGTTACTTGTAGGCTAGGGAATTACACCTATTACTGTGAAGTTATTTCTTGCCATGTGACAGCACTGTTAAGTCCTCTATTCAATCTTGAGTATTTAAAGTCTTTCACTAGCACACACAACCCCCTCTAGCTGTTGTGACAGGTTTAAATCCCTTAAAAATCATAGATAAGTCATGTCTAACAACACTCACACAAAACTGTATTCTTCAAGCACTCAAAAAAACTGAAAACTTCAGTCAAAGTGAT